TGATATTGTACTTGCCATTTTTCCGATAGCCTCCATCTTTAGATAGGCATTAGTTGTTAAATGTTGTACTTGTTATTCCATCGAAAGACGGATCGGTATCCAGTCGTGAGACTCATGTTAGGGGGAAGGATAATTATCCATGTTTTACCTGAGCAACAGTGAAAATATACGAGGCCTTTGTGGAGCAGATGGCAGTGTACTTCGAATGTCATGAAGCAGAAAATATCGCATGAAATCTTCAATCGCAAACATTCTTGAGACAACGCAAATGTTTCGCACCAAATTTGGATTGGTCGAATCCTCGGTATTCTCAACAGAACGTTTATATTCGAAACACAATGTCAATTCCTGCATAAGGACCTCTTGCGCAATTTCCAGTGTTATTTAAATCAAACATATAATTATCCTTTACACCCGAAATGCTCTGCCATACTTTCTTACGCACCTTTCACACCGAAGGCAGAAGTTCATATTTATGAAGAACACGAGGAGGCAGAAGCAGAGTGGAATACAGTATACTCTATTGCCATATATTATTAATGCGAACTGTTAATGTACAACTTAAAATATTATATAGTCGTTCATTTTTTGGAATATGTCAAAATATCAAACAGCGACAAATGTCACCCACTATTTAAACGGATGATGACATAGACCTAAGTCTTTGTGTAACATTGCTGCTCTACAAATTTAAGCATCGCTAGCCACGTAGCAAACGACGGCCAACTGCCAAAGTAGAAATAGTATGGCATTGCGAAGTATCTTGGAATGTGTACTTTTGCTTCCCGATGATAATGATAAAAAACTGTCATGAACCGTTCGATGAAGAAGGCTTGATAACCGAGAGGGCTTCTTATACAATTAAGGTAGTCCGATAAATAAATAAGCAAACTGATCAGACAACAAAAAGGTAAGAATTCCTGTCACAGCCACGAAAGAAAGAATTCTATTCTCGAAAGAAAGCGGTGGAAATATTCTCATCACGTCTTAAACTCCTTGAACAAAGAATAACCACTTTTTGATATGACGGACAGAAGATGCGAAAAGCGCTGATAAATGATATTATCACATGGAGAGGAAATATCAACCTTTGTGTTGCTTGAACGGTCAAAACAGAAAATCTGATGCAATAACGTTGTGCAAAGTTTTACATTCATTTGCCATTCTGAAATGGCAAAATTTATTCTATGTCTTTAATCCCCAAGTAAATTGATTCTATTGCACTAAGGCGGAGAGATATGCTAATTTAAGGCTCAGGGGATCAGTCTTTAAGTGAACAATCACATGTTTACATCAGTAGTGAAGGAAGTGCTTCGAATAAATGCTCTCAGATAATAAAACCCGTAGGAATACGGCGTGATCGCGCAGACACAAGATTAAGATCACCAAATCCGCGCCAGTGAGTAAAACCGACTGATGCCGGTAATAAAATCATAGGATCAGTGAAAATATGTCAGAGATTATTGCATAAAATTATTAAGGTATCAGCTTTCTGCGATACGTCAAGTTTGTTTTCGAATCCTCATTCCTCATTATGGCAACATTCTGTGGTATCACTTTTATTTCCATACTAAAATGTTTCGTGCGAGTTTCGCTTATTTTTTTCCTCCATCCTTTTGTCATGTACCCTATTGGCCTGTCGCTTAGATTTCTTCTTACAAATGCAGCAATCTAACATGATTTTCTTTCTAAAAGGTTGTTCTTCATCTTGAGATATTCGATTGTTGCACATCTTGTCTCAGATTCAGTGGTCATGCAGTTCTTGTTTCCGTATTCATGAAATTCGTCATTGGCCCCTTTTTCGTAATTAACCAGGATCGCCATTGTCTTGTTAACACCCACGTTCGCGTGTTTCGTTCGATTAGTCACCACAAGCTTCCATGTCTTACTTTTAGTTTATCCTCCCGTCTGAGGCGAAGTTTCGCAATTGAGCTCTTGCGATTGGACGGTAATTCATCACTGATAAAGTCCATTGGTAATTTGTTAGTCGGGTGATACAACCTACCCATTTTATTTGCCTTTCCCACCTGCTCTTTTTATTTCTTTCGAAACCGTTACAACGTCGTTCGCTCCAGGGTGTCTTCCTATTTGTTCGTTTCGCGGTTTGTCCTAGATGGAAATGCTTACCATCCTTCTTTCTATAGCCCGTTGCTGAACGCTTAGCAGCTCTTCATCTTTTTACTTCAATCCTCAGCTCTCGCACTACATAAAGCAGTTGTCAATATCGGACTTTCATACAGTTTGATTTAGATTGCAAGTGAGGCTCAAGCAGCCTTAATGTTTTCAAGATGGACAGAGTTTCAGCATTAAGTATTCGACGTTACACGGCTCCTTCTAGAGAGCTCTGGACGGAATGATTAATAAGAGACGATTAACGGAACAAAGAAAGCATTCTCTGTGATTTGGCCTTTTTCATACTCATTGCTGTCACTGTAGGTCGTTGTACGAGTTCGTTTCTCATCATCTTAGTCTCCGCAGTTCAGCTTGCTTGATGTTTATCTCTAGCCTACCTAGAACTAATTGCATCTAAATTTTAATGTTTTTGTGAGCTTTAACTTACTGTGAGTTCCAAGGCCTCGTGGAAACTTTCTTTGGAAAGGGCGATTTTACTCTTAGAGTATCGCGGGTACATAAAGAATATTCTGACTTATTTAGTGTCATTTAGCAATCTGGTATGATCCTTTCTGCGTTGGCACTAATCGAAAAGTGTTTTTAAGGAAGGTTAAAATTGCAAAACAGTGTCTGAAGAATCTGTTAGACACTTGCGTATCAGAGAAATGAAAAGTAAAGTAATCCAGGCCGTTTATTTCACCTTAGAGGAGGGTCGCAACAGCTCAAATCAAAGTTACTCATAAGCCTTAAAATTCTCTACTATTTAACGTTCAGTTTATGGCGCAAATACGAAATTACTATGAACTTTAAATTGTGCGTATTTGACCGCTTTACACAAACTATTTTTGTTTATGAGAACGGGACTTTAAACCTTTATTCGATGGCCGAGATCGTTCTCACTTGTGTTTTATCGATCTTATTCACTTTACGCTAAATTAGCCATTTTTCATGACATTTAAATGCAAATTTTTTGAAGCACTATTATCCACTTAATTAAAATAGCTATTCTATAATGCGAGAATTGCATATCATCTTAGTAAAATTCACAACGGTATGTCAAGAGAGAACCTGACTAAAAAAATGTGCAATTCATGAAGCAGACCGATTCTTAAAAGTGTGCACTTCGACATCGTTCACTGATTGGCCTAAAATCAAATAAGTGGCTCCTTTTGGTGCCTTGACATCTTTCACCTGATATTGTTGATTTACCTCTGCTACTCCCATCATGCATAATTAGCTTGCAGATTACTGTATAAGCATGAGTAATCTGCTTCATTTGATTGAAACTGAGGTCGCTGGTAATCCCAGCCGAGTAATATACATCTAATCATTTATTCAGTGCACGCTTTTATGTTATTGTCCGTGTTCTCAGATCTGCGTTGTAAAACGCAAGAATCTGGAAGGTTAATATTTTAATATTGACAAGAAATCCTTGAAGAGAAGCGACACCTGTTTTCCTGTAGAGAAATTTTCAGTGTTGCTTTTAATGTTATTGCAACGTCTGTTGAAACTGGAATAATAGCAGCAGAGTATAAGCATGAATCAGATCTGGTTTCTGCTGAATACCACATTTCTCCCACAGGCACTTATGGTTTAAATTCGACAACATAACTACCTTGATGACAGCGACACAGTTCTCCAAATATGCTTGAAATCTCTACCTGAATTTTCCTACGGTCTGCAGTAACCGTTGACGTGTGATGATCCTTGGGTACAGATTGCTTTGTCTCGGGATAGCTTCTTTTGAAAATATATCTGATTTTCTGTACTAAAGCTGAAATAGCTTGCTGAACGAAAGGCTCATTCGAAAGAAATCTCGGTTTTGCTCCAGTATTTATTAGGTGCTCCTATATATTGAATTAAGTTATGAGGGATGAAAATATTCTGAACAAATTATGACTGAACAGAATAATACGTGAGAAAACGACAATCATCCAGTTTTCGCCAAAGCTGCTCCATCAAAAGTACATGATGTTATGTATCTTTCGAATAAAAAAACTTGTGATTAAATTTGATAAATCATGTCCCCTGGTTTCAAATAAAGGCATTCTTCATCAGTGTTGTGGTAAATGCTTCCGAGCGACGGGCTTTAAAAGAGAAAGTTTAACACTTATGGAATCATAGATATTTTTAAGAACAGTAATCTGGTGGAATCGGTATTTCTCTGCTACTATTGCGTTGAATAGGCTGTTGACATAGCCTCCAGAAAATGTGACAATGAGTAGAAATATCGCATCCTCACCAAAGCGCAACCCGATATGCGAAGTGATCGCTATGCATTTACGCAATACCTTGCTATGACAGCTTACAATATCAGGAGGGATCTATGCGACGAAACTTGCGAAACCTCAGAATATGACATCTACAGCTTAAAACGTTTGCCTGCATTAAATGGTCCTCGTTTAGAGCGATATGCCACTGAAATCAGGGCAGATCTTATATCCGATTCTACAGAACAACAGTAATAAAACAGACTACGTTCCACCTATAGCAGCTAGATAGGGATTTGTGAAATAAGTTGGGTTGTACGCATCTACAAAGAGTACCGAAGATTGTCCTCCTTAGAAACACTTCTATATCTACCTGTTGACTCTGTCTAGGGAAGTCTGAGGTAAAGAACTAAATGCCATTGTCTTATACCTTTCCTTATCAAATACGTGGCAACCACTTCGTGCAGGTTAGTCGAAATTGAATCCAAAATGTCGGCAAGGGTGGACGCTTGGCAGGCGTTGGTCAACAAGTCGTTCTCACCGGTCGACGGGTTGCGCAGCAGCTCGTTACACAGCTCAGTGACCGCACTGGCGACGGTCGTCAGTCCGCAGCCGTAGACAACCATGGTCAGCAGCACGAGCAAAGCCAAAGATTTGTTCATGGTTGTTGGCGGCGTCAAGTCTAAACAAGCAACAGCCTAGAGGTCAGAACTTGACAGTAGGCGAGCGAAACGAGGCACAACGGCTGAGGACTATGAAACCGTTCCGGTGGCGTGTACACTTGAGCGCGATTTGACCTCGTATCTCGTCGAATGAGTGAATTAGACGTTGTCAATTACACCTACGTCCCTCGCCGAAGCACCGCTGCTGTACAACGGCTTGTCTTGAAGATAATCAAATTAATTTTGCGCTTTGACTGAAGTGATCGATAGTGTATTTTGCGCGCATCAGCGAATGGTTCCACACGATCAATTTATGCATATATGGAAATATATCGGTGGATATGTTTACTACTTCCCGTGGATAAACAAATCCTAATTGGTTTCAATGACGAACACTACAAAAGCAGGTTAATCCTCAGAAGAAACATGCCACATTAAATATTGATTCACCTGATTAATAACTCATTCATTAATATCTAACCACGAGTCGCCAAAATGGAGTAATGACGTATTCTGTAGCGATCTTCCTGAAAATTGCAAAGGCTGAAATCAGTGTAAACATAATCGCATTAACATGGCATTGTTCATTTGTTGCCTTATCATTAAACTCAAGATGGAGCGATTTAACAAATATAATGTAAAATAATTATTAATCAGAATTATTCTTCAACATGCGACGTTTGATTATCTGCATGGTAAACCGACCCGATATGTATGGTTCGAGATGGTCCGTGAACCCTACGATGTCGAAGAGCTCAGCAAATGCCCTTTTGTGCTTTTTCATCGGCTGTTTGAAGGGATGGGCGACGAAAGCTATATTTCATAAAAGCTGGCACCCTGAAGAAACTGCCTACGAAAATCACCAAAAATACATTATGCTTGCAGGAATACTAGACTTAAGAACAGGTACCGCGTCGACCTGCCGTAACTGGAGTACCTATGACCACTCGAGTACTTACGACCTGACAATTGTTAGTAAGTGACTGCCAACGGCGAAAGGATATCATCAGTGTCTTTGTGATTAGCCACAACGTCATAACTCTGTCACATAAAGTCAGTCGTCCATAGCTACATCAGAGCAGAAGCTTTTGCTATGTGCGACCTGAACATCTGCGGAACCAGTGGCACAGTGGAACAATGGTGAGAAAACATATCTCAGGAAAGGGTGCGAAAACAGAGCTTATAGAGGCGGTGTAAATATCACCGTAAAGAAGAGGGGCTGTGGCTTGTGGTCATCTGCGACCTCATGTCACTTACCTCACTTCGTGTCACCGTATTAGTTCTGCGGATGAACAAGAGAAGTTGACTAAGGCTAACCGAACTTTGAAGTCCAACAGCAGGTGATGATGAAGAAGTGGAGCAACTCTACTAGAAACTGAAAAACGCAGTGGAAAAGATATTCACTTGCACAATCCTAAGAAGAGATTACAGCGCCATTGTAGAAAAGTAAACAACTGAGGTAGAGCACTTCAACGGCAGTGGTGAGAAGACACGACTCTCCAGTCGTAGAATTTTCCCAAAGTAAATTCCTCTCTAATTATTGGCGTTGTGATGCGATGCACTTAGTGAATACTGCGTTTGATGAAGCCGTGAAGCGGCAGTGGAGGAATCCCAATTGAAAGACCCTTAACCAGGA